CAACCACAAAACAGGTACCCTCCAAAAAGGACAGCCCCACATTGTGATTTGATGTTTCGCGGGCTTCGGCAAGCACACGAGGAGCGGGCTAAAGCAGAGCTGCTCAGCGCCTGGCTTTCCAACCGAACACTCATGACAAGGCTCAAAGGGAACCCTCTCCAGACCTGCTGGGAAAATAGTTGCATCCTATCCTTGGTGACTGCTTGTTGTAAGGGAAGCCCCGTGCAAAAAGAGAAAAAGGACACCAGAGGTCCGGGGCCAAAGGATCAAGGCTTGACCGTGTCGACTCTTTTGCTGATCATGGGCCAAGCAAACGAAACCCAATGCCAGGCCGAGTTTAGAAATAAAATTCCACGGGCGGTCCAAGTTCTGACCTGTGTTGGTACCTCCCGCTTTGGTCGCTCAGACTGCGACACTTGGACCCTCTTTCTGAATGATGGCTTGGAACACAAGGAAGTCAATAATCTAGGATAGCAGAAATCTCGTTGCGAAAACATGTCCGACATCTTCTGTAAACTTTGGTCATTTGTTTGCCTCCGCATTTTCCCTTAGGGGACAACTCCGGATGGTTTATGGTGCACCTGACCCAGGTTGGCACAACCGCAGGCTACCACACGAATGGCTCCTTAAGTCGATTTCTTCGTGCGTCTTGCAACGGAGCCAGTTACCCGCCTGCATTTTTGATAGCTTCGCCCACCTCCGGGAAAATATCCCAGTCCTGCAGCCGAAGCCGTCACGCCAACGCATGCTCAGCACTGGCATTGAACAAATGCATTGAAAAGTGAACGATCAGCAAACACAAACTGTGCAAAGCCAACAGGCGTCCCACTTGACCGCCTCAAAAACCATCGCGAGCTGCTCTGTGCATGTCAAACTATGAACGTGATGCGCAAGGCTGCTCGTCAAGCAAACACGAAGATGCCAAGGTCCGGATCATGATGAATTTCCACTTCAGAACCTCAAACATAGGCTGGGGGTTCTCAAAGTGACACAGAGTGACACACCAAATGCTACGCAAAGGCTCTCGCGAGAACAGCTCACTAAGGCGCTAAGCCAGCAGCCGATATCACCGACCAACTCCTGCAGAATGGAGTGGCCCTTGGGACGCAGGCGCTTCAGCATTGCACCATATTCTGGCACTGGGCCGGCGGCAGCGCTAAACACCGTCATAGCCTTGTCATGCACGAGGGCGGGGGCCTGACAAACACACGCCGTGGGGCCCGGGCCAAACGAAGAAAATCCGATTGATGGCACAAGCTAGACCCTCGCTTGGAAATCTGGAAACAAGGCCATGCCTCGCACGTATATAAAATTGACACCGTTGGGGGGCTTTGCTGGGGGTGAGTGAAACCGCGAAAATTGGTCTTGGGCGGCGCGGCAGAGGCAAACAGGACCAAAGGATTGGACCACCACGAGAATTCCGCGCCTCTGGCGGGAAGCCTTGGGTTGTGAGCTGGGACTCCTGGGTGGCACAAGCTGGTGAAAAGAAAGCGGCAGAACCACTGACGTCCGCTTGCTGTCCTTGAAAGCCCATGCAAAAAACACGAGAATGGACATGTACAACCCCATGGAACTAAAGCTCTGTGGAAATTGCTGCCATTGAACCGCCTGTGTAGCAACACATAAACATCAAGCTTGCTGCCGCGGGGTCCATGAATTCGAACAATGGGTCCAGTCTAGCTGAAGGGGCAGCTGCTGGTTGCACCACTTTTTGCCCAAAACACTGAAAGCAGCTTGCAACATGTTTGCCCCGTGTTCTCTGCATTGTTTCGCACCAGGCTGAGAACGTCCAAGACATCACGGCAAAGCGCCAAAGTCCCAGAGAACCTCAGAACTGTCCGATTCATCTGCGTCGATGTATGCCCAGAAAGAACCACCATCGGTAATCGAGCACGCCTGCAGCAGCTGCAGCGGGTAGACGGTCGGAGGTCCTTGGTCCTGAAAGCTGAATTTGCGCGGCAAACCGCTGCTTGAAAAGCTCTTTCTTAAAAATGGGTGGTTATATGTAGTTGCGGAGCGGCAAGATTGCACTATAGCTGCAAAGATTCTCGGCCGGGAATCTGCCCAATGAGCAGGATCGGAGCAACCGTTCCCCGCCTCCTTTTGCCATGGCTCCTTTTTCCATGGATCCTTCTGCCACTGGGCCTGGTGCAACGACCCAAAAAGCATGCAAACAACCAAGCAAGCAAACAAGCGAACAAACAAGCAAGCAAACAACAAACACGCAAGCAAACAAGCAAACAAACAAGCAAACAAACGAGCAAACAAGGGAACAAACAAGCGAGCAAGCGAACAAGCAAGCAGGCAAAACAGCGAACCAGCGAATAAGTAAGCAAGCAAACAAGCGAACAAACAAGCGGACAAACAATCAAGCAAACAAACAAGCAAACAAGCAAATAACAAACAAACAAACAAATGACAAAGAAACAAGCAAGCAAACACGCGAACAAACAATCAACCAAACAAGAGAACAAACAAGCAAGCAAACAAGGAGTAAACAAGCAAAGAAGCGAACAAGCAAGCAAGCAAACAAGCAAGCAAGCAAGCAAACAAACAAACAAACAAACAAACAACAAACAATAAACAAGCAAACATACAAACAAACAACAACCAAACAAACAAGCGAACAAACAAGCAAACATACGAACAAACAAGCAAGCAAACAAGCAAACAAGCAGACAAGCAAGCAAGCAAACAAACAAGCAAACATACGAACAAACAACAACCAAGCAAACAAGAAAACAAGCAAATAAGCGCACAAACAAGCAAGCAAATAAGCGGACAAACAAGCAAGCAAACAAGCGAACAAACAAGCAAGCAAACAAGCGAACAAGCGAACAAACAAGCAAGCGAACAAGCGAACAAACAAGCAAGCAAACAAGCGAACAAACAAGCAAGCGAACAAGCGAGCAAACAAGTGAACAAGCGAACAAACGAGCAAAGAAGCAAACAACTTTGCAACACAATCAAGCAAGCAAACAAGCAAACAAACACCGGCTGCGCCTGTGCCTGTGGAACTTGCCACTGCTGCTGCGGCATTGGCTGTGGCCAGGACTGCCGCGCTTTGAAGGCAGGCGGCACTCCCTGGCCCGCTGAGCTGCCATCAGTGGCTCGATGGCAGCAACCGGCTGTTACTGGGCTTGAAGGTCCTCTAAGTGACAAGCGCTCTTTTTGACCACCCCTCGATTGAAAGTGATACTGTCCACTGTCCCGTTTGGGAAGGAGGCGGAAATTGAAACTATACAAAAAAGAGCTGCAGTGGCCACTTTACTTCTGCATCCCTCGGGCACAAACGCAAGTCCACTTCTTCTGTTCGCCCAAAACCCATGCTAGGATACCCGCCATGACAATCCAAGCTGCGGACTCCATTTCAACTCTGACCTCAAGCCCAGACACTTGGATCCCATTTTGTCTCAAATTGTAAGTTCAGACTTTGGACTTCCTCACCATGTTGAGAAAGCAAGAGTTGCTTGAACGAAGAATGCGGGCGGCGCGTGGAAGTGCCAAAGGGCCTGTGGATTACAACCAGTCTGCTAAGGACCCCTGTCGCACTGTGGCCTTGAAGGTTGCCGCTGGCGGAATGATGGGCCTCAGACCGGCTTGCTCGCTGACTCCAGTCACACCACAAAGGAGGCAAGGTTCAAACACCTCGGCCACATGCGTCTCTGAAAACAAGCTACGCAATAAATTGTGCCAACGCAGCTTCAGGTGGTGCATAGGTGTAAAGGACCTCGCGAAACAGCGCTTGGGTTGTGCACGGGCTGCAAACGCTTGAGCTGAAGGCCACTGTTTGCTAAGAATAGCTTCGCCCCACTTCGACCCTTGCCTGGAGGGACTCCAAATAACGCGATGTCACTAGATCCGAGACTGAGGGCCCAGCGCCGCCGCGCCTTTGCCGCCCCAGCCTGGAATTGCGCTGTACAGAACACTGTCTTAAAAGGTTTGGAATGCGTTGAGCCAGAAATTTGGGCAGGGGGGGCAATTTGTATAACATCTGCTTGTAACAAATGGAGCGAATGACATGATCCGGCAAACACAGGCACGCCGCGTCTCTGCACACATCCAACGCAATTGGGGGACTGGCCTTTCTGCATCTCCGCAGACTCCACTACCCCCCAGGACCTATCTGCAATCTATAGCCCGCTTGAGCCCATGCACTTTGTACGCACGCAAGCCCTGCTCGGCCACAAGTGAAAAATGGCTGCGGGCTTGATATCCCATAGAAACCTGCTGAACCCTCCCTCAAAGGTGGCACCTCCCTCTATTTCTCTCTCCTCTCTCTCTCTCTCTCTCTATCTCTCTTTCCCTCCCTCCAGCATCCTCTGGCATCTTCCCACATTTCAACCAGTGAGATGGCCCAAGCAAAACGGGGGAATGAACGTGGCTGGGGGACAGCCCCAAAATTCCTTTCGCAGCAGGTTCTCGCCCCATTTTTGCGCTCCGGAGACTGTCGCTCGTCAGTTGCCTGCGGAGACTCCGAGCCGACCGGGATACTGATTGAAACGGGGTGGGGGGGATTCCTCATGACTTCTCGTAGGGGTCTGCATTGCCAGTCTTGCAGCGTACCAGAACCATGGTTGGCAGTGATTTACATCAGTACTCATGTGGCTTCAAGCAAGCTCAGTTTGCCTGCACAACCTCTCCAGCCCTGCAGCATCCCCTCCCAGCTCCTTTTTCGACTTTATGTGAGACCTGATTGGTATACAATCCCCCCCCCCCCCCCAGGCCCTCGTCAAAGAGGGCTCCGAGATAAGCGCCTAGACTCCTCTCTCCCCGGTCTTGCCACCTCTTCATGAATATCCGGCGGGCGGGGGTTTACTCAGAGGTGCGCATCACTTGCCCACAAGACCTGGAAATGAAGGCAAACCTTCTGCGACCAAACAGGGACGCACACGGAACCCGGGTCCGGCCCTGGAACCCAAAAATGGCCTCAGCTGGAATCAAGAAAGACATGGAAACACATGGAAAGACATAGGAAAGTTTAAAGGTCGGAAGTCGCATCATGCCAGGCCCGCGGCTCTTTGCTGCCACTCAGTCGGGGGGATGGCCGGGTGCCAGAAATTCACCAGCAGAATCACGCGGCTCCTCGTCAAGGCCCACCCCGGACCCTGACATCAAATCGTAATTCGCTGTTTACGGCATGGAATCCGTGAATGACCCGTCTTCGCTCTGAGTTGTTTCTTGGAATGCTGGGCAGGTTAATCCCCACATTACTTACCAAGAGCGAGTGGAGTGAACAAATAGAGAAGCAGGTACGCAAATGGGCTGAAACAAAGCAATATGACATATATCAATGTCAGGAAACGTGAACAAAGGGAAGCTAGGCGTTGTGAAATGGGCTGACATCAGCTGAAAGGAGCACCAAAATGAACCACACAAATGGTGCCAACAACACGAAACCAGCATACAACCATCAGCTTGTCCAGCAAATGCTTGGAGCTTTGGGCTTGCCGAACCCAACGCCCGAGGCTCTGGTCGGAGGTGTTCTCCACCGAGTGCTCGAAGGAGTCGTCGAAGACAAGGCACCTGTCAGGCCAAAACCGCTGGGGGCCAGTGGCACGTCGCGCCGTAGCGGAATGAGGGTAGGGGCTCCTGATGCGGCCCCAAGCAAGGCGAGGGAGTCAAGAAATCGTGATTCCCTAGTTGATTCAACAAAAACTGCAAACCTCTCTAGTTGCCACTCGATCGCAACAAGCTTGAAGTCCACTAAGTTGGGAAAGAAAGGGATCGTCACTTTGGCCACGCCTGCCCTCCTCCCAGGTCCGCGTTTCTTGGCCCGCAGTGATGGTGCAGCCCTCCGGGATGACCAGGCCCAAGTGGCATGTGAGCCTGACATGTGATTTCCTTGTGGGTGAGGTTGAAAGGTGTAGTTATCAAATGAGTTCCCAGCTATGCAAGTTGAACAAGGAGTACCCATCAAACGCCAGTAATTTACTACGCATGCTTTAGGGAACCTCCTGCACCCTTTGACAAAGGGGCGCCTGAAGCAGTCCCATAAATTCTCAAGCTGAGAAACATTGATGACAAGCAGGCACCTAGAGCTTGGCCCTTTGGGCCGCAACCACTGAACGTGGATGGCAGCAGAAAGCTAAGTGGCCAAACTGTTCATGTAAGGGCAGCCCTCACTCGAAGAGGGAACTGGAACTTCGGGTGGTTTGCCCTCCAGATGTGTGGCAGGAATCGGGCTGGAACAGCCCAAAGATCGACTATCAATGATCTATCGCAATGATGTTGTCAGCTACTCATCTGGCTGGGGTGGGGTCAGCAGCCCAATTAGTCCTTTTGGATTTCTAAACGTGGCAGCTTCATTGAAACAGGAGACGAACAAACGCTGGTTTTGGGGACCAGCGTCCCATGGTCAGGCTGGTTTCTTCTAGGGGAAGCTTTTCTAGGGGGTTATAGAAGCTAAGACTCCTAAGATGCAAGAGCCAGCCACCCCATAGTTTTTTGATCCGCCTTTCCAACAAAAAGCAAACAAGATGCGGCTAACCTGGGGCACCCCTGGCTAACTTGGAGATATTCTCCCTGCGTCCTAGAAACTGAGTATATTTGAGTATGCGCCGCATCCGCATTAATCAACCTGGCAAACAAATGCTGTGGCGTGCCTCCTCAAAAGTGCAGGAACCCGCTCAAATGGGCCCTCCCGGTCAGTGAGCCAAGGGGTCGATTCACCCTGGGAAAGGTCAGTTGGGTGCAACCCCTTATCAGCAGTGGGGTTCGCAACATGCGCCTCATGTTGGTGGGCCCACAATGGGTCCGCAGCCGGGTGCCGGGCTTCAGCCGGGAGAAGAGGGCTTCCCCCACCCCCAGCTGCGCGCAATGAGCCGCCTCCAGGGGCTCAAAATGTTGGATCTGCTTTTGGAACCCCATCCGCACCCAAAGGGAGTCGCACAAATGGGTCAAGCTCAATCAAACATGGGCCAGGCTTGCTTGCCATTGGTAAGCAGGGCTCACCCAAACTTATGCTCGCCTGAGCTCAAAAAGGTTGGCCAAGCTTGTGTGAAGTCGGCAAGTTTGCCCAATATGGTACCAAGTGCACTCAAACTTGAAACTGCCAAATAAGCAGCCTAAAGTAGATGTGGCACGGTTGCATGGCCACCCCTTGGCCGTAAACCCCTGCTGACTGTCTGCGCACCAAAATTGATTGATACACGCCGCATGCAACTGATATCCACCGTGGAGGGACAAAGCGCACTTCACATCTATGGATGAACCGTAACGGGATAAACCAAGCGTTGCGGAATGATCTGTCCATCAGTATATTCTGGGTGGCTGTCTTTCACGGTACCCCTTTTGTGACTTTGATGAGATATAACTGACATAACATGCAACAAACCAAGATCCATTTTGGCCCCCGCCTATCAAAGGCACACTCCTTTGACACAAACCCGCGGCTGACTGCGGCTAACATGCCAAGGGAAACGCACAAACAAACAAACACACAAACAAACAAACAAACAAACAAACAAACAAACACCGCACCCGCTGACCTCCGGGCGGGCAGCCAGCACCGCGCTGGTGGCGGGGCACTTTTGGCGGTGCCCGAAACACTCCTCAGAGTCCCCCAGCAGCACCACCTCCGGAAAAGCCGGGGAAAGCCGTTTTGCTCAAATACAAGACATGCGGATACATACGTTGTTGGGCCAGGTCATTTCAGAAAAACGGAGACTTGAGGCCAGAGGCAAACGAAAGCTAGTGTCCGCGCAAGGGCCACGCCGGCTCTCTTGTAGGGGGTAGCAGGGGAGGAACTTCAGGAGAACAAAGAACAGCCGCCATCAGAAACTTTGAGAGTGGAGACAGAATGGATAAAAGAGCGGAGTGAAGCGCGCAAAACAGAGTTGGCAGAAGAGCGCAGAAAAGAACGGAGAGATCAAAAGAGAGACGAGTGGAGCAAAGACTGGGCAGAAGAGCGGAGAGCAGAAGCCGGGGAGGCGGAGGAAAACTCATCTTCCGAAGCCAAATTTATCAGAGTTGCGGGATTGGCCTCATCACTTGCCAAAGCAAGAGGGACTCCGGCTAGAAAACTTTCGTGCAAATGCCAAAACAATGTTACTAGTTGCCAAGTGAGCCTGGTGGAAAAAGGGACCGCCTTATATTGGGGTTGGCCATGTTCAAGGGGCCAGAACAGCGGATGATAAAAAGCCGGCAGGCTGCTTTGAGTCTTACGGCTGTTGACAAAGGGCATTCTTAGGGTCTATTTTGCAACCGCCCTCTCCTATGAAATTGGACAAAGCGGGGGTCAACCAGCAAACCCTGTCTCCCTATTGAGGGTAAACTAAAATCATGTTTAAAATGGCGTCAATCAACATGTTTGGTCGCTGGTCTCAGGTCTGAACTCTGCTTCCCTGTATGGTACTCTGGCTATACTGATTCAATACCTTTTTACTGTCTTGGTTCAACTTGTCATGCACAATGGGTCTGCAAATGGCAAAGGCATCACCGGGGTCCTGAACGGAGCCCCAACAACACGCATAGTTCAAAGCAGCAACCTGCATCAAAACCAGTATCCGGGGTCGATAAAGAAAACATCAAAGCAGCGGGTTGCTAGCGAGAGGTTCATTACAAATATCGAATATTTGGAAACAGTCCGGCCCTTTTTGCGTCGCCCTTCGATGGCCGCAAGATTCGAGGGGGGGTCCTCAAAGCCGTTTGGATCCGTTTGAAGCGGGGGGGAAGGCACTCATGTTGAGCCCTCCAGCCACTACGGCTTGCCGAGCTACTCGAAGCCAACTGCTGGTGCTTCTGCTTCCCACCGGGTGGCCCGCACGCTTCCAACGAATGACCCCTAGGAGCCTTGCTCCCCGGATTTTAATGGCGTCCAAAAGGGACCTAACAGCCCGGTTCCCGAATCCTCCTCCCACAGCACAAAAGAAATCAACCTTTGAGTGGACATATGAGAAGAGTGTGCGAGTCTGCAAATTGTCCTTGTGCCTCCCTCACTTGTTCAAAGGACAGCCAGACTAAACTGCTGGCTTACCGCTCAGTGGTCCCAAGCCAGTTGAAAGCAACAGTTCGAGGGTCTAAAATCAAAGGGCGCAAGCCGACAGCTCAAAGCGAAAGGTTAGCCTTTTGCCACCCCCATCTTGTGAAGAAGGCAACCTGCGCCCCAATCATCTTTAACTTTGCGCCGCATGCCTGGCAGGTTGGGGTCGCAACTCTGCAACCTTCCCCACCACAACTCACATTACACCAGCCAAAGGGTGAAGTCTCCATTAAGGGGGCTCAGAGCACTTGGACAAAGGTGAGGAAATGCCGGGAGACGTGCAAGCCCGTTGGGCAAGAACGGCCATACTCATAGACTCAGGGCTCCCAATAGTTCCCTGAAAACATTATCTTTGGCCAAAAACACCTCCCTGTTTTCTGATCCAAATGGTGATGTTTAAAGCCACGAAACAGGACATATGGGAAACAGAAATCACAAACAACACCACGCGCACACTCACAAAAAAAAGAGAAAAAACGAAAAACCACCAAGCGCCACCTCTCTAGCCTTCACCCCACTCTGCCTCGTTCCACTCCCCGGCCGCCACGAGGGCTCCGTCGTGCGCCGCCCGCTCCCCCACCCTGCCCCAACAGGCGCCCAGCGACAGCAACTCTGCCTGGCAGGTATTTGTTGGAAAAGGGTGTTAAAGGGCAAAAGAGACATCCGATGCCATTCTGGGGGCCCGAACAACTTTGACACGACACGGAACTCTGAAATGGGGAGCTTCTTTGCTTCCTTTGATTTGGATGGTGGTAAGGGGCACCAGCGGGACCCAAAAGTAATCTTTAGAAGCCGCAAAAAGTTACAAGGGACGTCCGTAGGGCTTCTTTTTGCCCACTTCCCCTTCCCACCCCAATTCCGTTTGGAAACACCTCACCAACCATTGTCCGGCGAAAACACTAAGGGTGGGTGGCAGCGGTCATCCCCATTTTCCCTGAAAGCAAGGACGCCAACACACGCTTGCTGAGATTGGCAAACTGACTTTGGGCTTCGAAACTGATCCCTAAAGGTAATCTAGTGTTTTGGTTGCTCCCCGTCTGATTACCAGCCATGACCACGCGGTCACCGTATTTTCACTGATACCCCTCTGGCGCTGATCGACTGCCTGCCCACAGGTGTTCTCCCCTGGACCCTCTTAGCCTCTTGGGCTTCCCCGATGCTGCAGCTTCAAGCTCTCGCCTTGATCTGCGGATAGGCCGCCTCCAAGCGCCGGCACAACTCGAAGCAGTTGGCCGCGTGCCAGGCGGATGCGCCCAGGCCCCGCAGGAAGTGTCCGGGCCGCTGCCAGGGGTTCTCCTAGCCACAGGGGGAACCTGTGAAGAACCCCCCAACAAAAATAGCATATAGAGAAAACCAAGACTTGCAACCGACAAATCCCCCAGCCAACAAGAAACGTTGAGTTTCGTCCGAGTCTCCCAAAGCACTTGGCGCGCCACGCATTTCTCCGCCCAGTGGCGGCAGGCCGCCAGGTCGCCCTGCATGTCCAGGACGCGGTTCAGAGCCACATGCAAGTCTGCCACCTCACGTGCCTGGCCCAAAAGTGGGAGTGTCTCGAGTGTTTGGAAATGAGGGAAGCCCAAAAATGAGATGCACCCAAGTGGAGTCGGAGTCGGGGGCCCACCTGACCTGACCTTTGGCCGAGTTTATGAAGCAAGGCCAGCATGTCTGACGCGTTTTCGGTTGGGCATCCCGGCTTTAAGCCCTGAGTCACGCAAGTGGTAGGCTCCGGGAAGCCAAACAGCTCACTGAACAGAACCATGCTCCTGCTCGTTCCCAGGCAATGCAGGAATGCAGGAATGCAGGAATGCAGGAATTCGTGATCTTGCTGATCTTACCAATAGTGGGTTCCATGTTTGAAAGGACCTTCAACCATCTTCGCTGATCCGCAACTGATGGGCCTCCTTAGCCCGGCCCTTGCCAATCCTGGCCACTCTGACTTCAGTTGACCCCACGACAAGTCGCAAAACAGGGTTGTCTACATTTATCCTTGGAACATCATCCCGCCAAAGGCTGACCTTTATTTGGCCTTTCCAACAGATCCTGTTGAGCACCACGGCGCGGCGTACAATAGTGCCAAATCCCCAAGTAAAGGATCCTCATCATGGTGAATCGCTGATTTCCCAGTGTGCCTCAAGCACCTGGCCCAACTCCAGCGCTGAGATCAGGTACCCTCGGGCGCGCTGCAGCGCAGCCTTCAGGGGCTTAAACATGGCCCGGATTGAGTGTTGTTTACAGTTGGGCAAGAGCAAATTGTGGTTTTGCCATGCGCTTTGCTGACACACAACCAGGGAATGGTGCCGTCTACAGCCAGGTGGGTGTTGAGTTCAGTTAATTGGGCACCCTTGGTGGACATCATTTGGAAGGGGATTTGAGTTCACCAGGGAGTGTCCACAGAAAACAACATAGCCAGTGCAATGAGGGCAATCCACTCAAAAAGTGACATAGCAGAACCTGGCCTTCCGTGACGAATCCGAGGCAGTGGCCCGGGCATTGTGAAGCCACAGCTCCCCGAGAGCGGCCTGCAGCGGCAGGTCCAGGAGGGAGGCGTTGTGCGTGGCTGTCCGCAGGTCCCACATGGGTGTCTCAAAATCGGGCGATGTCAATTAAAATGTTATGGGTGGAGTTGGGAAACCAACTGGCTCCAACCCACCAACCAGAAAAGCCCTAATTTTGAGACATTCCCACATCCAGGGGCCTCCGTGGCCAAGCGCGTGCCATCACGCCAACAGGATCGATCGCACCCATGGACGAGAGGCAAGCGCCCCCAAAAGGCTTTCAGGCAGGCCCGAGCCAAAAGGCTCGATCCAGGCACAAGGTCCTGTGGTCACATTTTGCCAATCCAATCCCCCCCACCCCAAATCCCAATCAGGCCTAATAGCGACAAACAAAGCCATTCCCCTTTTTTGGGTACCCGCGACAACCATCAAAGATGGTATTTGGTAGAAGGGCTTAGCATATTCATAGTGCAACTGCACGAACCTATATCTGCATGCATACCCAAGGTTCCTTCCCTCCGCGACCTCGACCTCGCCACAGCCCCTCTTTTGGCACACCGCCGCGCGCACACGATCCAAGTTCCAAGCCATCGGACGACAGCAGTCGGGAAGCGGGGCACTCCTGACGCGCTGCTTGTGGGACATCGGAGCTGCACCCATCTGCCAATGTTTACAACTGCAATTCCAACACCTGAAGCAAGAGTTGGACCCCGAGAACATGGTGAGCTCGCTTTACGCCAGGTGAAACAACGCCACAAAGCAAAGGCATGCCAATCAGTCTGCTCGGCGTACGTTCCTGTCAGAATCAAGCAGCCCGCGTAAAGGGTGCTACGCCTGGATACAAGCTATGTGACTGAAAAGTCTGAGCTCCCCAAAAACCACCCCCCAGATCTATGAAGACCCCCGCCTGCCACTGGCAACATGTCCCTCAAGATCCTGGCCTAGAGCGCACAAAGGAATCTTGTAGCCGCCTCCCTTCTGGGAGCTCTCTCTCGCACGCCTCAGTGAACAGCCTGGATATGGCAAGTCAAACATGGCATCGGTCAATTTGGAACCCAGGGTTAAACAAACATTCACAAAGCTGGATGCTCCTGCAGGCCAAGCAGGAAAATCGAAATGGGAATGCGTGAGCAGCATTGGCGTGAATACGTTTAAGCACGCAGTTGGCCCCAGCCAGGTGTCGATTAGTGCATGTTGGGGCTTGAGCCTCTGTAGGGTCGCATTGTCGGCCATGTCAGCTCTCTCTCCTTCTCTTTCCCTCTTTAAATTTCTCCCTGACTCTCCTCCGCAAGCCCTTCGCACTCTCCAAATCCGCTGGTATGGCCGAGTGTCTGAAGCAAGGCGCTGCTAGGGCCCCACCGCACCTGCCCCAAACGAGTGATCGAATCGAGCCACGAGTGACTAGAAATCACCGAACCCTCCCTCCCACCATAGCACTTGTGGGAAGGCATCTGGAAGGTATGACCCCTGTCAAGCACTGAGTATGGTGGATTTGAGAGGCGGGTGAACGAAAGCTAGCCTAGCGAGCCCAACACGGCATGTACGACCCAGGGGTTGCTAAGATATTAAGACTAGCATCCTAAATGAACATCCAGAAAGACAGAAGCTCAGCCCCTAATTAGAAACTCCCGCTAGCACAGCTAGCTATCGCGACAAGCATACTGTGGAAAAATGTACTGCGCACCGCTTTGCAGGTGGTTTATCCCAATTTCGGGCTGAAATGAACACCCTGGAAACTGTTGTACCCTTATACCCTAGTATCGGTTAGTAGTTAGATCGTGCTTTTGCCTCAGCATCGGTTTATAATGTTTTAAGGGCTATGAGTTGCTAAGTACTCTGTAAGCCGTTGACGTGGTCACGCAACACGCGTAAAAAAGAAAGAAAGCAGGCAGCAAGCAGACACGCACGGACTTGCTTCGCGTGTTTCAGAAGCAGGTTTGGTGATCAGCAAGAGGAACTCGAGGAGTTGGTGTGAAGACAGAAACCCCAAGACAGGACGTGCTACTGGGCAGCTGGTTGGAATTGGCAGGGATGAGTATCGGTTGCTGAGCATTGGCTTCAGCATCGGTTCGGGGCCTGTAAGTTTCCTGTCCCGAACCTCAGCTTGGCAACAATTGGCTCGTGTAGTATAGCTTCCCGACAGCACAGCGTGCTGTCACAATTGTGTTCCTGGGTTCTGGGGGCACCGGTTGATTTTCCTCGGCATCGGTTTACACTAATTTGGGCCTGTAAGGGGCAGCCCCATCCACAACGAAATGGCGCGGGGTTTCTATTTTGACCCAACTGGCTTCTTGCATCCCAACAGGTGCAGGAATTTGTCCATCCGCAGTGTCCCCCATGAAAAGGCCCCCCCCTGATAGTCGGAGCGAGGGAGGGTAGTTCCTTGTGAAATGACAATGACAACAACGACAATGCTTATATAATGATGAGGACGATGACAATGGCAATGATGGCGATGATTGTGCTGCTGCTGCTTCTGCTGCTGCTGCTGCTGCTGCTGCTGCTGCTGCTGCTCATGATGATGATGATGATGATGATGAGGAGGAGGAGGAGGAAAAGGATGAGGAAAATGACGATGACGATGATGACGATGATGATGATGATGATGATGATGATGATGATGATGATGATGATGATGATGATGATGATGCCTATGATGCCTATGATGCCTATGATGCTTATGATGCCTATGATGCCTATAATGATGAAGTTATTCACAATTCCGGGGCGTGCCCATACCAGGCAGCAGCAACGTGAGACAGCAATCCCAAACTGACATCAAGGCACAGCGTTTCGGTGGCACCCGAGTAGAGGGTCACAGTCCGCGGGTCCCGCGTAGAGATGAGCGGGGTTGATGGTAGCTCCCAGCCAGGAGGCACGTGAAGCTGCCACCTGGGCAAAGGAATCACAAACGTGCTGGAAACTCACGCGCGTGTTCATGAGTCCTAACCAACCAGAAATCGGGGTTTCCCAAGCGAAGAAACCTTGTCGGAAGAATCTATTTTCCCGCGATCGCTGTTCCTCCCGCATGCTGCGGCAGCTCGGGCCAAGCAGCGTCTCCTGCTCTGGGTTGGTCTGCACGGCGCGCCGGCGGGAACTCACATTCACTGCAGCGCATGTGGTCTCACTGTCCAACAGGCTCAGAGCAAAACATCTTCATCTGCTGGGACCCCCAAACAAGTCCGTCTGATTCACTAAGGAATCCGCAAGTGACTTGAGCTCGTCCTATCCCCTACCCCCCGACCCAGTTTGTGCGAATGGTAGGTCCTATCAGGTTCAATTTTGCCACCGTGGTTCCTCCTCCCTCCTAAAACGCATTGGTTCCCAGTCAGGAATAAAGGGATGGCTCACTTCGAGGTCGTTCCTCCATTCCTTGCTGAGCACCCGCAAGAACTAAAGGCAGGACCCTGTTTGTTCGACTCCCCAACCTGTTTCTTGCTCCCGCAAACCAAAAGGTTCCACTTGAAGGTGAGCTTTGAGCCAACGGATCGGGGTTGAAAACCCAGCTCACACCCCTTCCCCCCACCCCACCCCCGGCCTTCGGCGCGGGCAGGGCCCGCATGGTGGCGACTTCATCCTCCAGGGCCTGGCGACTCCAATACCTCGCCAGCTGCTGTTGCTTCCACGCCTCCTGACGCATGAGTTTGTCTCCACATATGGCGCCCCCCAAAATGAGCTGTTTCCTGTTAGCTCTTTTTAAGCCATCTTGGGTGTCTCAAAATACGAAACACCAAAAATGAGCGGATTCCTTCTCACCTTTTCTTGAAACAGCAACCTGACACATTGGAACTCCCCTGGTTTCCTGCTGGTTCACCCCCCCCCAAAAAAAGAAAATAAAAAAAAATGAAAAAAAAAACAACCAATGACTGTGAACTAACAACCCTTGGTTGTTCCGTTTCCTATGGCGCTTGCAGGGGGGGGCGGGGGCCTTTCTGGAGATGTTTGTGGTGTTTGTCTGCTTTTCCCGAACTAAAGACAACTTATTAATTTCTGGCCTGCAGCATTTTCTCTCCAAAAGAAAACCCACCTGGGGATATGTATGGCTTACACGTTTACTTGTTCTGTTTTGTTTTGTCTTGATTGTTTGTTTGTTTGCTTGATTGCGCGAAGTGCCACGAGTGGTTCAAGATTTGTTTGGCCGCCATGCTTGGTCGTTGCTGACTGCCGACTGCGTTTTGTGATTCACGTATTCACCGGCAACTGCTGTTCAGCTTCTACTTGGGTGTGGCTCATTTGAGGACGTCATTTTTATTTCATTGACTACTTGGACTTCCTCAAATTTATGGTTGTACATCCACTCGCCTCGGTCCCAAGTCCGAGACTATCAGTTCTTCTGTGGTGCCTGATGGCCTGTAGCGTTACTGATAGGTGGCATGAGGGTTGCACCTTTGCCGCAGGGGGTGCTGGAACTGGCCTGCTCTCCGATTTCTTTCGTGACACGTGGCCGGTGAACTTTTGCGGCTCTCAGCCGACATTCGACTGCGGTCGACAAAGGAGTAAGGTGGGCAAACGAAGTTTTCGGCGGGCCTGTGCTCGAGCAGAGGATGCAGGGTTCACGTGGTATCGTGGCCAATTGTACACTGCTGCTCAATTAGGTGTTTCCACCCCTGGTCCCAAGTTTTTTCCGGACAGCCCCCCTTCCCACACACAGGCACCGCGGCAGCAACACAGGATTGCTCGTCGGAGACTACAGATTTTCAACTGGAATGCTGGGTTTCGGCTGGAGCCCTCCCAGAGCTCTCAGCATGGGCTCATGACAATGGCTTTCAGATTTGCCTGATACAAGAAACCCACTGGAAGTTTGAGAGCGAGTGGACTCGCAATGGATGTATGTGCATGCGGGCTGCTCCGCACAGAAGGGGGCGGGAGTTTTTGACTATGATTTCCAAATCTCTGTGCCCGCAGTCGCAACTGAGCTACAGGGTTTTGAAAGAGGGACGTTTGCTTCATGTTAGGCTGCATGTTCTACCCCGACCTATCGATGTTGTGCACATTTACCAACATGTGCAGAAATCTGCAAATTTCCTCTTACGGCAAACCCTTTTCGAGACGCTGGACGCAGCTATTGCAGCGTTTCCACTTCGGAACACTCTGGTTGTCGCGGGTGATTTCAACACTAGCCTCCCATGTATTCCTAAGTATGTGGGCTTGAGGGATTATTGCGCTCAAGAGGGCGGACGGGTTGCTGGACCTCAACATCGTGATAGTGGCATCCTTCAGCGCATTTTGGTCAAAAGGGACCTGGTTGCCCTTAATACCTGGGACACTTCGCTTGGCCCCACTTATCATGCTTTATCAGGAGCCTCCTCGCGCATTGACTTCATCCTAACTAGAAGTTCTCAGGTTGATGTCTTTTCAAAGCGGATATCCTATTTGACGTTTTTCTGGCACGCTTGAGCAATATCATTGGCACGACCCTTTGGTTTGCAGCCTTCCTCGTTGCTGGATACCTTACAATCGTAGTCAGCCTTTGCCGAAAGTCACCCTCAAGGAGCGAGAGATTAGCCGTGATGTGTGGCTAAATGACATTGAGGCATGGAGCCGATTTAGTGCAGAAGCTGCAAATTGGATATCTAGCGCCGAGTGGTGGCAACTGGCAGACTCACACAACGCTGTGCATAGCGAGGGCATGGAGCTTTTTCAAGAGCATTTTGGACATGGATCCCCCGCTAGAGACTTTAAACCCAAACAAGCACGTTGGGACCCACAGGGGGCCAATGCTAAATGGGCACATCTTCGCAGCTACTTTGCCTTTCGGGACAAAGGGCTTCGTAGTCTTTTTGGGATCTGGTTTCATTGGGCTCAACATCGTAAACTGTGCCGACAGCATCGCAGACATGCCACGAAAATGAAACAAGCCAGAGCTTTAGAAGTCATCCAGCATGCATCTTTGACCCTGGCAGCCTGCGATACCTATTCCTTTTGGAAGCTGGTCAAGAAGCTTGCGCCCAAGCAACGCACTCGCAGGTTTCAACTGCGGGGGCCGGCAGGTGACATTCTGAGTCCTTATGAGGAGCTTCTGGAACTCGAGAAGTATGTGCGCACGCAGTGGGCAGGTCCGAGCTTAGATGCTCCCAACGACATACCCCCAAGGGTTCCTTTCAGTCGAGATGACCTGTCGCAGGCCTTGGGAAGGCAGTCGATGCTGAAAGCGACTGCGCCGGGTTTTGCACCTGCAGCGCTCTGGCGGTGTCACCCTGACCTCCTGGCAAACAAGCTGTATGACCTTTTGGAAGAGTGGTGGGGTCATGCTCCCCCTTTCATCCCCCAGGATTGGCGAGATGGATGGCTTGTCCTCATCCCGAAGCCGGGCAAGCAGTGCAGCTCACCGGAGTTACTCCGGCCTTTGGCCTTGCAGGACCCCCTTGGCAAGTCCGTCATGAGCCTTCTTGCTGCACGTGCTCGTGATGATTCATTTGACACTCTTAGATGCTGGCCCCTTTTTGCGTATCTGCCCCAGCGCGGGACGGAAGACGCGATCATGAAGGTCTTTAACCACTGTCGCTGGGTCCAGGACATGGGTGCTCGCCTTCGCCCAACTTTGCACAACCGAGCCCGGGGAGTGCCTCGCTTGGAAGCCTTTGGGGGACTTTCCATTAGCTTGGATCTCAAACGAGCTTTTGATTCTGTTCCTCGTGGTAAACTATTCGAAGTACTTGCTCGTTCAGGTGTCTCCCAAAGCATCTGCACTTTGCTTCACACTTGGCACAGCCACACTTTTTATCACATTCACCATGGAGGGCATCACGCTGCTGTGAATGTGTCACGTGGAGTACGTCAAGGGTGCACTGCGGCGCCTCTGCTTTGGACCTTGTTTCTTGCCTCTGCGCTAGAGAAGCTTTCAGAGCAAACCACTAGAGAATGGGTTCTTCAGGCCCTTACCACATATGCCGATGACCTCTTTGCCGGAGACTCTTTTGTGAGTTGCGGGGGATTCAGCTGCTTGTTGAAGAAGTTCGGTATTTTGCTGGATGTGCTTGAGCTGTATGGCCTCTCTTTGAGCCTGGAGAAGACAGTTGCATTGATGAGCTTGCGAGGGTCAAAGCAGCAATCACTGCTAGCGCAACATACTGTCCGCACGAACAAAGGCTATTTTCTCTTGGTTCCTCGTGGAGGTGGAGGCGTTTCCAGAATACGCTTGGTGGATCACTGCGCCTACCTTGGTGTTGAGGTTTCATATCGGGACTACGAAGCGCGAACTGTCAAACGTAGAATTGACGCTGGCAAGGCGGCTTTTCGTCGCCTCCGATGTTGGCTTACCCGCCGACAGGGGCTTGCAGCTTGGCAGCGCTTTGCTCTTTGGAAAGCAGTGGTCTTCCCAACTGTCATGTACGGCTTGAGCGCAGTAAAGCTTCGTGAAGGCAGTGTCCAGAAGCTCGTCACTGCATTCACTGGAATGCTTAGACGGGTTTTTGGAAATCACTCTTTTCTATCCCGATGCACCCATGCCCAGTTTTTCAGAGAGTGGAATCTCACTCCCCCGTTGGAGATGATCCGGCAGAGTATACTTGCAAGTCGTGATCGAATGGTGTCACGGGTCAGTGTACTCCCGCCTGACGACATTCTGCGTAGCATAGACTGGGGCGCTCGCGATACGACGCTGGACATTCTCTCTTCTATACAAGTTTCCTCCGCGGTGGTTGCGCCGCCAAGCCAGGATGAGGTGCTCAAGTGTGAGCACTGCGGGGCTGTGCTGGACTCTGTACAAGCCTGGAGGAGGCATCGTACGACGCACCATCCGGAGCTCCCAGACTTGATCCGCAAGTTTGACCTGCGCCGAGACTCGGTGGATGGGCTCCCGACTTGCCAACATTGCGGGCACGAGTTCGACTCCTGGTTTCTCCTGCGACGGCATGTGGAACGCGACGCATGCACTGGCTTTCCTCACGTTGAACTACAGGCCTCATATTTTAGTGACAACCTGACAAGTGCAGTGGCGCAAGCACAGGCGCATAACTGGCCGGGTCTTCAGGCGGACCGTGCTATGTGTGAACATCTGGCCACGCACTGTCACATGTGCCAGCGCCGAGCCACCAGAGTGCAGGACCACAGGGGACACATGCGTGCTGCGCATCCCGAGGTTGACTCTGATGCCTGTTTTGCGGTGGCAAGAGAGTGGAGCAACGTATGTGTCTCTCCATGCCAGTTTTGCGAACATGTCTTTAAACGCCAACACTGTTGCCCTGTACTTTTTCAGCTTGCGACCCACCTGGCTTCTGACCATCCAGGGGCTTCCCTGAGAGCGGCTCCGGACAATCCAGCGCGAGAGGAGGTGCGCTGCTGTTACTGCTCAGGAGTGTTCAACTGTGAGGCGGAACGTGATGCGCATGTCTATGCTTTGCATGCGTCCTTTCTCCCCGAACGTGACGCTTGCCCTGGACTTATTTGCGCACACTGCTCGGATAGCTTCAACACTTACACGGCTCTTCGGCGTCATATCAACAAACGTCTCTGCAGTACGTTCAGCCCTCTCTTCACTAGACAAGATCTCAGAAGATTGGCGGCCCCCTTGCAGTCCATTGTTTTGGGGGGACACGTTGAGAATCTCCTTCGCGACCCACAGGAATGCGCGCGCTTCACACTTTGTTGCATTTGTTGCGATCACCACGCCAAGCGCGCCACGGACTTGCA